GTGCAGTCTCTCTGTTGCAGGTACCTTTTTGTCCTCCTCTGTGCCCCTGGCAGATTTCTGGGATCCTTGGACGCTTATTGACTTCCAGCCTGGATAGCCAGGATCCCGCTTTGGCCCTCACACAGGTCTCTGGGACACTTCTTTCCACAGGGAAAGGATGAACCTGAAGGCTCCAATCTACTTCTCCACGGGCCTGACAGAGAAGGCCAACCATTATTACAAGCTCTTCATCACCTGGACTAATCAGAAAATCCGGAAAACCTTTGTGCAGAGGAACATGTTTGAGTTCAAACACATCAAGGCCTTCGACAGGGCCTTTGCAGACAACCCAGGGCCCATGGTAGGTGGGTGTTAGGGAGGGAACTGGGTTTATTTCTGACTGGTTTATTAGTTATCATTATAAAACCATTCAGAGTTTTCAGCAGACACTGCTCACAAACAGCAGTTTTCAGCTCTTGTGAAAAGTAGACAAGGTGGGGGAAAAAAAATAAACCAGCAAAAATCCCCATTTGATGGAGCGTCTGTAATGGGTATGGGGGGATACTCTGCACAGATTTACAATATTTACGTATTGTAAATAATGGAAAAATCTGTTTTCTGTGATGATTCACGGCGTACCTTTGAATTCCAGGTGGTGTTTGCAACCCCTGGAATGCTCCACGCGGGGCAGTCCCTTCAGATCTTCAGGAAATGGGCAGGGAACGAAAAGAACATGGTGAGAAACTGTTTCCTTGGCTGATGCTTTCTGTTGAGGTGCCAAGGGCAGAGGCTGCAGGAGGGCATCTGCTGATGTTCCTTGCTCTCCCTGCCAGGTAATCATGCCTGGGTACTGCGTGCAGGGAACGGTGGGCCACAAGATCCTCAGCGGGCAGCGCAAGCTGGAGATGGAGGGCAGACAAATTGTAAGTTGGATTTTCAAGCAGGAGGGAAAAGTCATCTGGGGGAAATTCTTCAAAACTTAAAGTGATGGTTGCACACCATGGGCTGGGTAGTGGGATTATGCTGCACCCAACCCTGAAAATGCCTCAAAGTAACTTTTTTTTTTTCTGGATTTGGACTCATTTTTTTCCTCTGTGCCTTGGCAAGTGTGTTGCCTTGTGCCATAGAACTTCTGGGGCATATTTATAACATTTAATAACAAAGCCCCATTAGTCAAATAGGTAAAAATGTTACAGTTTTAAGCAGATGTGGATAATGAAATGACAACAGCTGTCCTTAAGTATTGATTTGTTCAGGCAAATGTGTGTCAAGGATTCTCTGGAATCGGTAATTTGAGCCTGAAAGCTTTTCTTTAAGGCAATGTAGGTGTTCTCCTTCCTCCTTAGAACTAACTAGAGAGGAGTCTGGGTCTGTCTGTGTGTGTGTTTGTTATACAAGCTGCAGTGAGCCAAAGCAATTCCCAAAATGCTGTGTTTTCTGCTCCTGCCCAGCTGGAAGTGAAGATGCAGGTGGAGTACATGTCCTTCAGTGCCCACGCAGATGCCAAGGGGATCATGCAGCTCATCCGCCAGGCTGAGCCTCGGAACGTGCTCCTGGTCCACGGGGAAGCCAAAAAAATGGAGTTCCTGAAGCAGAAAATAGAGCAGGAATTCCGTAGGTATCCCTGTGTGTTGGTGCTGAGCAGGGAAGGGCAGCAGAGCATTCAAGGTCACGTGTTTATTAATCCACTGGCCCTCAGCAGGGTTAGGTCTGATGGAATTTACGGATACCTTCAAAAACTGGTGTCTGTAGCATCTTAATTAACATACTAACTAAGCAAAGTTAATTGCAGCAACCCTCTGGACTCGAAGTGAAGCTGTTTTGTTGTGGTGCAGCATTTCCTGGTGCCACACTCCTGACAGGGGGCTGCTCCCTTTGCAGATGTCAGCTGTTACATGCCTGCCAACGGGGAGACCACCACCATCTTCACCAACCCCAGCATCCCTGTGGACATCTCCCTGGGCCTCCTCAAGAGAGAAGCAGCAATAGGTGAGTCTCCCAGCCACCCATTCCCCCTTTCAGGCCCTGCCCCTGTGCTGGGTAGCACTGGCAGGAGGCAGAATGCTGCAGATATACATTTAATAGTGTTTAAAAACAAATGCACGCACACACTGCCTTGTTTGCCACTTCGTTGCTCATTCACTGTGGTGACAAAAACTCACGTGTGCTTTTACCAGCCAGGTTTGGGAATACTGGAGTTATTTTTATAAACTCAATTTAAAAAAAGAAATCATCCAAACCCCCTCAAACCAGGATGTGCTCTGGGAAGAAAAGCAGTTGTTCTAAGTGTTGTAAACTAGACATGGTTTTTTACGTGTCAGTTGTTCTGATAATGGTTGAGCACCACGAATGCACTTAGCAGAAAAAAGGTGAAGAATTTTAGTGTCTGAACCTCACGAGGGCCTCAGAGGTCCATCTGCTGAGTCCTGGAGCAGCTGTTTAATGGGAAGATTCAGCACCTCATTGTTAACTTGTCTTTTCCTCCCCCCTGACCGTGGTTTAGGTCCTGTACCAGATGCCAAGAAGCCAAAGCTCATGCACGGCACGTTGCTCATGAAGGATAACGTGAGTAAAAGTGTCCTCATGCTTTTCTTGTGTCCTCTGAGTGTGTTATAATTCACACACGAGCTCTGGGTGCACAGGGAGCCAAAATCAAGGTTAAGCAGGTCTGGTTTCTTACAAAGAAGGCGCCAGGGGAGGATTTCTTCCTCTGCCATCTCACATTTATATTCAAACTTAATTCCCCTGCCGAAGAGGATAAAACCAAACTTCCAGAGAGCAACTTTAATTTTGTTAAAGGAAGGGCTGGTGTGATTATTTAGGTGGACATTTTGGACACCTGCCTTCCCCCCTCCCTTTGCTGCCCTTCATCCCCTCATGCTCACAGCAGTGAGACGGAAAAGGTGAACGGTGTGATGAAGTGTGCTGAACACAACCTGCGAGCAGCTACCCGCAGAGCAGCAGTGCCACTCCAGAAAGCTCCAAGCAGTGGATTTGAATGGATTTCTCCCTTTTCCCTGCAGAGTTTCAGGCTGGTTTCCCCCGAGCAGGCCCTGAAGGAGCTGGGCCTGGCGGAGCATCAGCTGCGCTTCACCTGCCGCGTCCACATCCAGGACCCGCGCAAGGAGCACGAGACGGTGCTTCGGGTCTACAACCACCTCAAGGGGTGAGGCCCTTCGTACCTCAGGGTTGTTGTTTTTTTTTTCCCACCCCTCTAGGGATGCAGTTGAGTTTATCATTCCCAATCCAGGTAGCACAGGTTGCCCCCTCCTTGGAGCTGGCAACAGCAGAACCTGCTGGTGGATCCCTGAGTGGGGCTTTGCTCTGACGAGCGGGGCTCAGACAGGGAGTAGAACTGTCACGAAGGCCAGAAATAAGATCTGCAGGAAATCCTACACGGTTAATACAAGCAGCAAAGTCACCAAGCTGTGGATTAGCCTTTTTGTCCCTTCCTTGGGAAGTGGGAGACTCCTTGGGGGGAGTAGGTGCTGGCTTAGCCACAGGGAAAAGGAATTAACAACAGGCTGGGGTTTGGGATGAAGGTGCAGGCGTGACCCACCCTTGACCTGTGTGCATTTCCCTCCCAAATTAATCATCTTTTTTCCTCTCTTCCCAGGGTCCTGAAGGATTATTCGGTGCAGCATCTCCCTGATGGCTCTATAACCGTGGAGTCCATCCTCATCCAGGCCACAGCACACTCAGAGGACCAGGGAACCAAAGTCCTGCTCGTGTCCTGGACTTACCAGGTAGGAACACTCAAGGACTTTCTGCTCTTAACTCCTTTCAGTCCCAAACTGTCCTGGACTGGAGGTGGCTGGAAGTGTTGAGCCTTCCTCCCTCTGCTTTTAAAGGAGTTTGACTGGAGGATGAGCTGAGTTCCTGCCATTTTTTTGACCATCTTGGGTTTAGTACAAATGGCTTTTACAGAAGCTCTCTGGGACCACTGAGCTGGAGTAATTAGAGTTAATTACAGTTAATTACAATTCTGTCTGTGTTTTGAGGACACTGAGCTGTATCCCTACTGCCATGCAGAGTGTGGAGGTATTTTACACTGTATTTCTTAGTTTTCTACTTGCTTTGAAGCCTGTGTCTAATCTTAACACTGTTTTATTAGATCTTCATTATGTTTTCTTCCTCTCAAAAGCACACTTTTCTCTGGCTGTATTACTAAATTCTTTCTGGGTACCACAGCTGAATTTACTGCCCCAGATAGGACACTCAGGTAGAAGATTTTGCTTTCTTCCCGTTTCTCTTTCTCCTCTGTAGGATGAAGAGCTGGGCAGTTATCTCACCTCCCTCCTGAAGAAAGGCCTGCCCCAGAGCACATCCTGAGGGCAGAGCAGAGCACAGGGCGTTACAGAGACTTAGATTTTATTTTGTTTACCTTGTCAATGGGTTTTTTTTCTGGTTTGTTTTAATAAAAGAATTACAGTGTTTGTCCAATTACTGCGGTGCCAGTGCCTGCCTGCCACCAGCACTGTGATCTTCCCCCTTGGAAAGCCGGGCAGGGAGTTGGTACAGCCTGTTTTTAAGCAGTCCTGAGGAACAAGCTTTGAGTTGCTTACACAGTAAAGCAAAAGTTACTCAGTGTTCTTCCCTCCCACAGCTCACTGCCCTTAAAAATCTCAGCAGTGCTGAGTGAAACAATTAAAATGCAGAGTACGACGAAGGTAAAGGAATAAAGCCCTAAATGTGCTGATTGCCAAGCAGCAAAATTTCTTTTTTAATTCTCCCTCCTTCCCTCAGGGACAGCTGAGAAGCCTCCAGGAAAGCTGCTCTCCTGCATGGAGGCTCTAAAAACATTTCCCTTCCTTTTTGCAGAGCATGAAGATTGTGCTCAGTTGATAAGAGCAGTCCCCCCCCCCCTTCTCCAGTGCTGGGAGGATTTTCCATAGTCTTTTTATCCATATGGGATAAAAATAGCAATGTCTCCTGGAAGGTGAAGGATTAACTGGTGCTAATTCTCCCTCTGAGCCTCCCCTGCCTCCCCAGTGCCAGGGTTTGCACGTGGCAGCCTGACAGTTTTGGGGTGGCCTGGGGGTGGAGCAGAGCAGCGAGTCTCTGCATCTCTTACCCCAAAAACCCTCATCCCTCTGAAGTAAACCTGGGTTGTCAGCCAGGGCCTGTGGTTTTTCTGGTGCCTCAGATGAAAAATCCTCTCCCCGGTCTCAGCGTTTTCATGGGGTGGGAAACTCAGCGGGTTCTCAGAAGCCACGTGGGTCTGTTAGTGCAAGAAAAAGGGGGGTGAGAAAGGTCAGATGTGTTTATATCACAAAATCTGACTGAAAAAGAGAGAGAGCTTCGATATTTGAAGGGGACTGCACCCTGCAAAGAGCTGTGGCAGGAACTGCCCTCCAGCAGGGTGTGGAGAGAGGAGCTTGTTTACCACTGACTGATAAATACTGGGATCTGCTGCCTTTCTAAACTTGCATTAATACATGTCCAGCTTGAATCCAGGAAAGCCTGTCCTGGAATACTCCTCAGAAAGCCAAGTGAGGATGAGAAGCCCCTATTTGGCTGTGGAATGTGGGCTGTGAACCCAGGGGAGAACACACCAGATCCCTCCAAAACGGGGAAAAACCACGCAGGGCTGCCTGAATCCACCTCTATCCATTAGGAGGCTGATCTCCTTCAAGTGGCCCTTTCCTGGGCTGTGCTGCTTCCCAGAGAAGAGAGCCCTGTGTTCTGCCAACCCCGAAGTTAAACAGAACAAGCCCAAAACACCACTGTAGGTGAACACAGCAGGTTTCAGCACGTGCTGGGAAGGGCCTGTCCGAGGAAACAGCTCCCCCAAGGGCTGTGCCAGTGGGCTGATCAAAATCCCCAGCTGGTGGGCACTTCCCTCCAGTGCCTTAACAGCCACCACACCAAAAAACAGCAGGTTTTACAGCTTTGCTCGTAAAGAAACAGCTGGAAAGATCACCCCTGTACTTACTTGAAGCAAACCAGTTGACTCCATCTCCGGGGGTTTTGCTTCCACATCTCTGCCAGAGTTTATAATCACGGGAGGGCTCCCCAAAATTCCGGTCACAGATGGTGAACACCTTTTTAGACCTGAACCTGAGCCTGAAGCTGCAGTGCCAGTGCCTGCTGGAGGAGCTGTAGTAGCACAGGAGTGGGGTGAGGCAGCAGCTGAGGCTCACCAGGGCCAGGCTGACCCTCCTCATCCTGCAGATCAGGGCGGACGACGACTCGTCCCGGATGACCTGGACCCTCACCAGGAAGCGCAGCAGGTGGGCGAGGTGATGGGGGAGGAAGCACAGGGCGCAGATGGCCAGGACGATGCAGACGGTGCCCAGGGCCCTCCTCCTGGACGCGCCGCGCTTGGCGCGCGAGATCCCGCCGGCCACGAGCGGCCACCCCACCAGGGCGAGGGAGAAGGGCACCCCACACCCCACCACCACGGCCAGCACGTCGTGAGGGGCCGCCTGCCGGGCCCGGCTGCCCGTGGGGATGTCCTCGAAGCAGGTTGTGGTGGTGTTCCCCACGCCCCGGCTGAGGAGGGGACCCTCCAGGGCGAGCGGGATGGCGACACCGAGGGCCACCACCCACAGGGCCGTGGCCACCAGCACGCAGTGGCTGGCCCTGATCTGGATGTAGGTGAGGGGGTGCAGCACGGCCACGTAGCGGTCCACGCAGATGCAGGTGAGGAGGGCGGTGCTGAGGTGGATTTGGAGGTGGAACAGGGTCCCTGTGACTCGACAGGCGGCGTCCCCGAAGATCCAGTTGCTCCCGTGCAGGTGGTAGTGGATTTTGAGAGGCAGCACCCAGACAAACAGGGTGCCCAGCAGGGCCAGGTTGAGCAGGTAGATGTAGGAGTGGGACAGGTGCTTCGCTCTGCAGGACAGCAGGTAAAGGGCCAGGGCGTTTCCCACCAGCCCCAGCACGAAGGCGACGCCGTAGGTGACAGGGAACAAGGAATGCTGGAAATCTGCTTCCAGCCAGAGCTGCTCTGAGCTGCCACTGGCAACTGTCTCATTGGAGGCCCAGGAAACGCCTGCCATGGTTTCTGCTGGAGAGAAGAACACCCAACACGGGGTGAGAGCCTCAATCCATCCCTCACCTCAGGAGGTCCCGGAGTTTTAGTCCCTCTCGATGAGCCAGAGCTAAAGCTGCACCACAGATGTTCAGCCTGGTGAGGTCTGTGCTTCAGAGCTGCTCAGATGGAAAGCAGTACCACTAGAAGGGAAAAAAAACAAGTCACTTGGAACACCAGCATTTGAGTTTACGCAGTAAGACAGCATTTACCGGCATTGAAATCACCCCAAGGTGACAATAACAGAGGCAGCTGAAATCTGAGTAAACCAAACACAGACTCTTCAGTAGAGGCCCCTGAAAAAGTTAATCTTGAGAAAAAAACAACTCAGCCACCAATTGCAAAAGGCACAAAACTATGAAGGCTGCTGGGTACTTTCCAAAGGAAACTCTGAGTTCACACTTCCTCCCCCCACGGTTGTTTTTCTAACAAGGGCAAACCCACCAGAGGTAAGTGGAACACGAGAAAGGAAATAAAAAAAGCAGGCCAGGTTTGCTTACACAGGTCTGGCACCTCATAGCAGAGGGTTTGTAAACACAGGAGGGGGGAATTTATACCAACCCAGGCCTGACTTTAGGACTTGGAAATGACCTTTATCTCAGAGTTTGGCAGAGCAAGCAAGAGCCACCGAACGCCCACCTTGTGCAGGTTCAAAGTGTAGTGTTTGCCAGGGAATCCACTCCTGAATTGCTGCCTGGGCAGCTGAGCCTGAGCTGCTCAGTCACTGCATTTGATAACAAGGTTTTTATGGCAACCAGAAGTTGGGGAACACCTGCAGAAACCTCACTGACACGTATTTTTTGCACTGGGATGTTAAAATTTGGCCTGGTTAACACTCAAACAGTGTCAGTATTTAGGGTTTTTATGCCCTGTAAAGACTCACAATAAATTTAGTAAGAAACAGAACTTACCAGAGCTCAGAGCAAAAGCTGCAGGTGAGTTCAGTGGCCTCTCCCAGGTCATCACAGCCACCAGGTCCCTGCTCAGCTCCTCTGTGGGGAGTTTGACACCCGAGTGGTGAGTTCTGTCACGCTGCTCTGCAGAGAGAAACCACAGGAAGCCACGATCTGTCACTCACACCCAAGACAGAGCCCCTGCCCTGGCAGTGCAGTGTCCCCCAAAACTGGGCAGAGAGAACCAGGGGGGGCTTTTGTTCTGCCCAAGCACCCCCTGTACGAGGGAGGCACAAAACACCCACCCAAAAGCCACCCCTGATCCCCTCCAGTCCTCCCCTCCCATCCCCAGCCCTCCCATCCCATCCCATCCCCTCTGGAACTGCTCCAAAACGGGCCTGGAGCTGCACTCCCACTCCCCTTGGAAAGGGGGGAAAAGCAAAGGAATGCTGCCATTCCCTCTCAGGAAAACCTCTGGCTAAAAAAGTTTGGCAGAGCTGAAGGAGCCCTCACTGCTGGTGCTGGAAAATGCCTGCAGGCTGCTCAGCATCCCCAGTTCCCTGTCCTGATCCAGCCAGGATGGGCCAGGAAGCACAAAGAGGTACCACAGGAGCAAGAGAAGCAGCTTCAGGCTCTGCTTTTCTGTGTTACAGACCCGTGGAGACTTTGGGAATTCATCCCTGTGGGAATAAGGAGCTCCATGGGAAGGGAGAGGGCAGCCAGAAGTATCATCTCACCTTTTCCTTCCCATGCTGTCCATCAGGATCTCTCACTCAGTGCCTGTGGCCAGAGGAGAGGGTGGTTTTCAGCACCTCAGCTCCCACTGCAGGAGTGTCTAACCCAGGTATTGTTTGTTCTGTGAGCCAGCATCTTCATCTTCCCTGTGACCTGACATTGTAACAGTCACTTCATAACCCAAACAGACAGAGATTCTGGTGTCACTCACGTGGAAAACCCCCACAGCTCGCCCAGTGTGTATTTATTGCCTGGGCAAGCAGGCAGGACCTGAGGTTGGAGTGGTTAAAAAAAGAAAAAAAAAATATTAAAGAAAAATATGAGCTCTCTGCACTCTGATTCACAGGCCCTGAGATCTCTGACAGACCCAGAACACTCTGCAGCCACCAAAGAGAAGGGCAAAAGGTGACAACAGGCACATCAGAGCCCAGCAGCAGCAGCAAGAGCCACCTCAGAGGAACCCCAAAGGGCTGTCTCGTGGTCATCCTGACTCACCCGAGTCGCTGCTCCTGTGCTGGGACCATCAGAGCTGTTTTAAGTGACCTCAGAGGAACTCTGGTCTGTACAGAAGTGGCTTTGTAAGCAGGGGACAGGATGAAGTTCCTGTGCTGCAGCTCAGCAGAGGAGTGAGTGGTGATGGGGAGAGGAAGCAGCAGCACTTTCAAAGGCTGGGGCTGTAAATCACTCATCAATCAGGCAGCAACAGCTGCCCCTTGCCCTGCACAAAGGCAGGGCTGGAGAGGAGAGGAAATGCTCAGCTCTCCTCTGCTCTCAGCCTGCCTTCCTCCCACACACACCCCCACAGGAGGAGAAAAGAACACCACACCAACAAAAAACCCGAGCCCCTACTCCTTCCTCCTCCTCCTCCTGAGACAGGCACCAGAACCCCAGAGAAAGAGCAGTTATCTTCAGTTATCTTCCTTTTCCCTTGGCAGCCTCAGAGGGCAAGAACAAACGATAGGAAGATGCCTCCAGCCACAGTCAATGGTTTTTATTGAGACAAGGCTGTGTCCCTTGGCCAGGCTCCATCCCACATCCACAGCAGTCCTTTTCACACACAGCTCATCCCCACAGAGCTGCTCTTCATCCTCCTGGGGACACTGCCATGGCCAAATCTGGGAGGGGAGAGAAGGAAAAAAAAAAAAAAAAGAAAACATTGACTTAGGGGAAAAAAGATGGCACTGAAAGCACCTGAAAGCACTTCAAATCTGCAGTGTGCACTTCCCCCTGGGCTCCCTGCCCGGGGGCACAGGCAGATCTGGCAGGGAAGGAGGGGGACAAACCCAGCAGCTGCTTTTCCAGGGCCAAGCTGAGTGCCCAGAGCTCATTCCAGCTCCCTGCACTGCTCTTTGCTGCTTCCCTTCCCCTCCTGCCCAGGGCTGGGCTCTGCTGAGCCCGGGGAAGGTCTGAGCCTGGTTAAAGCCCTTTGAATGCACATTTTATGGGCACTGGATTAACCACAGACACTTCCAACACCTGGCTCTCCCTAGCAGGGATTTCAAACTGCCATGACATCCATTTGCTAATCCTGCACTGCTCCTTTTTTAAGCCAAAAAAACTGTAATAGCTTCTCACAGAGTCAGGGAATGGTTTGGGTTGGAAGAGACCTTAAAGATCATCTCATTCCAACCCCCTGCCATGGACAGGGACACTTCCACTAAACCAGGTTGCTCAGAGCCCTGTTAAACCCAGCCTTGGACACCTCCTGATGCTGTTAAATTAAGACAGACACTATATAAGCAAAAGGATGCTCTGCTCTGTCCTCCAGCCTTTACAATACCAAGGGAAAAGGGAACTGAACTGGATCCACAGAAAATCAGGTCTTTATCCACAGTCTGGGACAGAACAAGAATTTATGAGAATTTAAAGTACCATTTAAAGCCACTGCCAACAGAACTTCTCTCTTACTAACCTGAAAAGGAAGAGGGGAAAATCTACAAGTGAAAAATACACTGTTTTTCCACACCACCTGCTGGGAACCCCTCTGTGTCTGACACCCTCGCTGTGACCTCCACTAGATGATCTTTAAGGTCCCTCCCAACCCAAACCATCCAGTGTGGGGTGTCCACACGAGCCCCAGGCCGTGGGAGTCACTGCCCCCTCTCCTCCCCAAGACCTGGCTCCCCCAAAAAAGCCATTCCCAGCATCCACCCACCTGCCTCGTCATATTCCACGGATTTCAGGAAGAGCCCCGAGGGTGGGGCCATGGCATTGGGAGGAAAAGCCAGGGCATCCTTTGCCTCCAGCAACTCCTTGACGTGATGAGGTGCCAACCTGCCCTGGCCAACTGCAACCAGAGCCCCAACCATCCTTCTGACCTGCAAAGACAAGAGGTCACAGTTCAGGAGCTGCCCTGGCAAAAAAAACTGCAGAGGAGATGAGGGAATTCTGGCCAGGCCCTTGTTTTAGGTGTCACTGAAGCACCTCGAGTCACAGCCCAGACTCATCCATCAGGGTTCAAGCCAGTCCTGGCTGCCCCTTGTGTGCCCTTGGCATCACCCAATAATCCCCCCAGGGAGCACTTCCAGTGCTCACTTCACCTCTTCAGCAAGATCATCACCCCTCAGCCCCTGGGCTCTCCCCAGCAGCCACAGCCACCCCAAAATCTGCAAAAAAAAGCTGCTCTTTCCCCTTTCAGCAGGGATTGCAGGGGCTGCCTGGGTTCTGCCCTGCCTGGGGTGACACACTCAGCCCGTCTGCAACGTGCAGTGGGATCTTCTCAGTGCCCAAAGCCGGCGCTGGGGAAGGGAGAAGATGCAGTGAAAACCACCCCATTTCCTCTAAGCCCTTCCCTGCAAACTAAAGGCACCCACAGGACCTGCAACACAAGGATCTCCAGCCCCACAGCAGTGCCTTGGAGCAGGCTCTGCTCCCACCACATGTGGGCAGGGAGCCGAGCAGGGGCTGCTTTCAGTTCCAGAAACAACAGCAGCACCCACACATGGTCTGTGGCAGGAAGCTCACACGCCTGGTGGGGAGCTGAGCTCACAGCTTTTAACACACAAGCAACACTTCTCAGGTGGTGGGGAGGGGGGTTATGCAGGGACTTGTTTCTCTCTCACAAAGCCAGGAAAAAAAAAAAATCACCCGAGTAGGACATCCCACCGGCAAACTGGCATTTTCACACACCTCTGCTTGTCACAGCTCCCCTTCCCTCCCTCCACACCCAGCAACTCCAGGCCTGGTGGGCTGGCAGAGATTTCACACCTCGGTGCTCACCTCCTGCACAAACATCCCTCACACCTCAGCGTCCTCCTGGCTGAAAAAAATTCCTCCTGGAGGAAAAAAAGATCCCTCCAGGAGGGCCAGGATTTGGAGCTGCCAGTGCCACCTGCCCACCAAATGCTGCTTCTCCATCCCTGGTTCTCCATCTCTCATTCCCCATCCCTGGTTCTCCCTGTGTGGTGGCCACAAACATCAGTTTATTTGGATTAAATAAACGCTCACTCTGTTAACGCCCTTTCAAAGCTCTCCCAAACCTTCACTGCAGCGTTGGGATGAATCACTGGTCTGAGTTTCTGATCCAGAGGCATTTAACTGAAGAATAAACCAAAACCCACTTAAGGTCATGTTTATCACTGGTGAGGAGGAAGGTCCAACAAGCCAAGAAAGATTTATCCAGAGGCAAGTGCTGGCTCTCCCTGTGTGCTCTGAGCCTGCCTGCAGGATCCTCCACATCTGTTATTTTATCCACCCTCACTAGAGGTCATTGCATGCCATGACTTCAGCTTTGATGTCTTCACACTCGAGAATCAGCTGGGAAAAAAAAAAACCCCACACACTAATGGTCCACATCCTGAACAGCCACGTGTTTGGTGTCTCCCCCCCCACTTCTGCAGGGCATTCAGCAAAAAAAAAATGTATATATAAAGGTTTTGGGGTGGTTTAAACCTTTTTAATAATGAAATCACCCGGATTTCAGTACTTATAGACCCCATATGAGTGAGAGCAGAAGCTGAAGTTGTACAGAGAGAGAGAGAGTTGAAGTTCAGGTGTTCAGCCCATCCCTGCCTCACTGTTACCTTGCTGGGACCAGGGCTGAGAGAGGCTTACACAGACAACTGTTTCCTCTCCTCAGGGGCACTGAGTGGAATTTCCCTTCCCAGGCACCAAAATTGTTACCAGCATCTTCTCCTGGTCACCAGAGCACCTGAGGGAGCAAATCCCTGCTGGGCATCAAGCCCTTCCCAAGCACGTTGTTGTCCTTCCCCTGCTCCCATCCAGACACCCACTTGCCAGAGCTCCCAGAGCATTGCTTGGCACAGGATAAAAAACACAAACTGGGTTTGTCAAAACAGGGCAAAAAAATAGCTGCTTGCTGTTCCCACAAAACACCCCCTCTCCTCCAAAAAAAAAAAAAAACAAGCCCTCTCCTGCCTGTTCTCTGCCTCCAGAGCGTGACCAAGGGCAGGAGGGGCAGAGTGAGAGCAGCTCTTCCCTAACCAGGTGATGCCTTAAGTTGGGAACAGAGAGAGAATCTCACCTGAGGATCCTAAGAGAGTTATTTAAAAATAAAACCTCCATGGCAGAGGCAGAGAGATCCTGCAGAGCCTTCCCACCGAGAATCACTTCGTGCTC